CTTATTTGTTGTTTCTCTGCATTTCTTTTAACCCTTTAACATATAGGTCTTTTTCAGAGGGATAAGATTTAAGGATAAAAAATTCAAGCATTAACTTTAGTGGAATCCATAATTGTAAAATATAATATAAAACATATGGGAATAAAGAACTTTTAAATTTTATATTTATTAATTTAAAAAAAAATTTTGTGGTGCAGGGGATCAGAACCCAGGACCTTTTCATGCTACGCAAGTATTCTACCACTAGTCCCCGCATTAATAATTTTTTACATTGCTTGTTCCAAAAAGAACTTGAGGTAGTAAATGGGAACTTAAAGTAGAGGAGACAAGTTTAAAGGTATATTTCCTTTACCACAGAGCTAAAGGGTGGTTTGGTCAACCCATTATAGGTAAGTAAGGAGACACCTAGCGAGATCACATAATAGTAGGAGAAATATTTGAGTAATTACGTGACTTATTTGAGATCACTTGGTTATTTATTAGCTAAACTAGAATAAGAAACCAAAATACCAAATTCTGGCATGTATGAACATTTGGCTTAATAGGCCAGGTATTTTTGCTACACAGGTTTGAGACAGATTAGTTAAGATTATTACTGATCTGTTTGCAAAGTTGTAGCCTTTATTAGGAATCATACTTCACCATACTAAGTTGACCTGCAGGAATAATGTTTTCCCAGTTAGCAGAGCATTTTGTGAATTAACCCTTTATTAATTGTTTGTTCTACTCTATTTTTATTTGGAAAATATGGGTGCTATAGAAACATTCTGTTTTGAGGATGTGAGGAGAGAGGTGGAAAATGTATTTCCTGTCATCTCCTGATTGATGGCTTTGAAACTGGAAGCTTTGCCTGGTTTTCCTAGGCAGGCTTTGCCACTTGTTCAGAAATTAGGAGACATATTTCTTGTATATCTTTAGAAGCTTTTGTGTGTGTGTGTGTGTGTGTGTGTGTGTGTGTGAAGAGGGTGCTGGGGATTGAACCCAGGGCCTTGTGCATGCAAGGACTTTAGAAGCTCTTGATGTGATATTTCAGTGATAGAACACTGAATTGGCAAGATCAAGAACAGAATATGATAATCCTTCAATAAATGGGTAGGTCAAGCAAACATAATTCTTAGTATACATTCACTTCGTATACAGAGCCTTTCCCAGGCACACTGGACTTTTCTTTCTAGCCTCATTTCCTTTGCTGAAGCTACTCCAGCCTGTTCAGTAAACCATGTACTCAAACACATCTGACTTAACCCTTGCCATTTTTTTCTGATAGGAGGTAGTCCTGTGATGAGACCATAAGAAAAGCATAATAGAAGGTTGATAAAGCAACTGCGAAGAATGAATTAGAATAAGGAAGATTGTGGAGACAAGAATACTAATTTTGGAGATAGTGAAGTTTCCATGGATCTGAGTTGTCCAATATAATAGTTACATGTATCAGTTTGGATAAAATTGAAAATTCAGTTCATTGTTTGCACTAGCCACATGTGGCTAATGGCCATTGTGTTGGGCAATAGAGATTAAATAGAACCATTTCCATCCTAACAGAAAGTTCTATTGAACATTACTGCCAAAAATCAACTCCCTAAGTGAAAATCACATTCGTTCTTCATAGTTATATTTTATGTGTTACACCTTAAAAACTGGGCCGTTTGTCATACCTAACCCAATTCTAGGCTGGGTGTTTTCAGAGTTAGAGAGATTGTAGATACTATCACTACAAGTATAAATGCAGCTTAGAATAACAAAGTAAAACTTAGTGTCCATCACTTAAATACTTAAGAGTAGCTTCTAAATAAGTAACACTTGAGCATACTGTTATTATTCTCTTCTCTTTCCCCACCTACTCCTCTCCTTGCAAAAGAGGCACAAACTAATTAAATATAGTTCCTTTCTACTTACTTCTACGGGGGGCAGAGTATTTTCTATTTGCAAAATTGTTTTAATGATTTTGCCTGGTGTGATCATGATTGTTTTATCTTATGATAAATCTTTCCTATATATCAACCTTCCAGTATTGCTGTTATTTTTTTATTTTTTATTTTTTTGTACCAGAGATTGAACCCAGGGGCCCTTAACCACTGAGCCCCATCCCCAACCCTTCTTTTACATTTTATTTAGAGACAGGGTCTTGCTAAGTTGCTTAGGGCCTCACTAAGTTGCTGAGACTGGCATTGAAGTTGCAATCCTCCTACCTCAGCCTCCCCAGCCACTGGGATTACAAGTGTGCACTCACACCCTTGGCTCAGTGTTCTGGTTTTGAAAACATTTCATTTAATTGACCTAGAAGTCATTTCTAATTTTTCTTCATCTTAGTCTAGTCCATAGTCTACTCCGTATCCTCCATCCTACCCAGTCCAAGAACAAGTTCTAATAATGGTTCTTTCCCCCAAAAGATATAATAATTCTGTTCTTTTTTTCCATTTCCATTTTCACATCTTGTTTTAAGTCACTCTTTCTCTCCTGAATGATTGCAGTAGCCTGTTAATTGCCCCCTAAGTTCTCCACATAAAAGGCAAAGCCATCTTTTACAAGCAAAATCACATCATACCAATTTCTTGTTTAGGACTTCTCTTGCTGTTGTCCTTAAAAAGGATTCCAACACCTCATCCTGGCCTGAAAGGCTCCTTGTGACCTGGCTCTGGACTTACCTGATCTCATCACCACATGGCGCTTCCCTTTTTTCCTAAGCTTCTTTGGCCTCCTTTAGATTTTCTAAGTACACTCCATCTTTCCTGCCTCAGGGCCTTTTTCTTGCTACTTCCTCTGAACTGCTCTCGCCCAGCTCTTGCATGAATGCTTTCTTCTTAGCTTCAAAGTCTCAACTCTGAGGTTATTTCTTGAGGAAAGATTGCTTTGTCTATTCTTTCTAAAGTAGACTCCCACTACTTCCACCCCTTACTCTATAGCATCACCCTGATCATTATCTGGAGTTCTATCATTTGTTTAGAGAACACCTTAATATTACTCTTAAAATTAAAAAATTATATTGCTACAATTTTCTTCCTCCCCAGGTATTCTGACTACCCCTACTAGAATATAAGTTCCATGAGGGCAGGAAACCGTTTTTTATTTTCTGCTCTATTCCCAGTATCTAGAACAGTGCCTGACACTTGTAGTTTTCTCAATAAAAGTTTCATAATACTGAAAAACTAACAACTTTCCAAAGGAGATTTAAGAAGAACTCATCTCTCTCTCTTCCCTCCTTGTTCTCTGTGTCTCTGTCTCCCTGCCTGCACATGAAAGGAAGCTCCATGTGTCTTACATGTGAACATCCTTCTAGGCTGTTCATACTTAATATGAACCAGTGACTTCTAGGCTAAACCTCATCTTTTTACTTCATGAAGTTGTGATCCACAGTTTTTTTGAATGGTTAGTTTCAGCTGAAAAACATAGTGAACAGTACATCTGGAAATATTCTGTCATGCTTGATCTGAGAAACTGTAGAGAACCAGCTGCTGATTTGAAAGGCTTTTATTACGATACAGATAGTCTATTGTCTACAGAAGTACTGGCTATTGCACAGTAGTGTGTGTGTTGCTTTTTCTGAGCTATTAGCTTGAGAGAAAAAACTTGTATTCAGTAATTTATGCATGACTTGTATTCTCTAAGAATGGTTTATTGTGCTGTTCTATTTAGCTGATTTACTGTGCATTTAGGAATTTTTTTTACTCCATTTTCTTCTTCTTTGGACTCAAAAGTTAAGTGGCAAATAGGATTGAGATACTTTCCAATCTTCATTTAAAAAATTTCACAGGAGTAACCAATTTTCTTCCTCTACGGGTTTCTGCATTCAAATGTCATTTAAATTTATAACTCAGTATTTCTAGGTAGCTGTATATTGATAAAAATTGGTAAATTTCATCATTTACTATGTTAAAATTTACTTTTTATAGAGTACTTTATAATCATGACAGAATGGGAGAGAGATGATATCCAAGCCCTACACAGGAGGTGAAGAAAGTGAGGAGGTGTATCATTTGGGGTATAATGCATTCACATATATAATTTGATTAGTGTGACTTTTAATATTTTGATAATTTTTAACTTCATGTTTCTGGTGCTGAGTGTGAATATTTAAAAAAAATTTTACTATTACTATTTAGAAGATTTATGTAAAATGACAGATAATTTCTTAACTTTCAAGTAGGAAATAATTACACCTAACTAGCTTAGAGAACACCTTAATATTACTCTTAAAATTAAAAAATTATATTGCTACATTTTAAAAAATTTAGAAATAAACAGTGCAAATCCAAAGTTACTCAAAACTTCCTAAGCATTAATACAACTACTATTAACATTTTATTTTCTATTCTTTCAGTGTTGTATATATATAAATTTTGTTGTTTTTGTAATGATAGTATATTCGTTTTTATATGTCTTCTTTTATTTTTTTCAAACTGTATCCAGCTTTATTAAAGATACTTTTTATAAACAATCATGGTATTTCAGGCAGGACATGGGCAGACAATCGTTAACAGTATACAACAACTTTCAAACTCCCTTCTTGAATGGACTACCAAAATTAGAAAGCCATTATAAAACCCAATGAAGTCTTCATTTGATGCTCTGAATAGGGAAAGTTTAGAGTGAGGGTTGACATTTCACATTTAGCATGTTGTTTAACAACTTTTCACAAGCTGACCCTGACTTTCAGGAAATGAAAGGAAAATGGCAAAAATTATTAATCTGAAGATCCACAATCTAGAAAAGGAACTGCTGCTATTCTGAGGGACACTATTCTCAATGACGTCACTGGAAAGTCCAGATTGCCCCACACACTGGTAAAACCAATCGTTGGGAATCAGGTCCCAACAGGTCTGAGTTTAGGGGAGATAAGTCTATGCCGATGGCAGAGAGGGACAGGAGGACATACAGATGAGTTTGAGTTTTTCTATACCACAAGGCATTTGTGCCAAGGTGACTATATGTGCCAACATCCTCTTGGGAACAAAGAGGAAGTCTCTCAAAACTAGAAGGGAAAGGTGTTTTCCCCCCACAGCAATCCAGCTTTGGAGACATTCTACTAGTGACATATGCTCCTCCCCCCAAAAAAAAACAAAACAACAACAATGAAGTGTTCTGTGTGCTAACAACATAGCTTAAAAAAAAAAAAAAAGTAAAACAAAATTTTGCATTTTTATAAAACTTGATAAAAAATAGTATTTCAGACTGTACAGTCACCAGAAGTACACAGTTATCAAAACCGCACACACTTCACTTGGCATCTCCAGCACCTTCAGCTTTCTGTGCCTGGTCTGTTTTGGCATCTCCATTTTCTGCAGGTTTATTCCCATCCTTGCCAGTGTCAGCTTTTCCCTTTTCCCCTTTGAGTACCTTCTCTCCCTTCTTTGCAGGGGCCTTTTTAGGCTTGGGCTCTGGCTTTGGAGGAGCAGGTTTAGCAGACAACCTTGCAGATCTTCTCTGTGGTTCGTCTTTCACCTTGGCTTTATCTCCTTTAGTATCCCCTTCAGTCTTTCTCTTGGGCATGGTGGCTATGGCGCTGGACGCGGGGATGCAACGGCGCGTGCTTTGGTCGGCCGGTGGTGGGGGGGGGGGGGGGGGGGGGGGGGGGGGGGTTGGGGGGGTCGTTCTCACCTCTTCTTCTTCCTATATGTCTTCTTTTAAATGAAATATGTCATTTTTCTCATAGAGCTGAGTCTTTGACCATTGCTTTAATGGTCCCCATAATACTCAATCGGAAACTGTATCTTAATTTTTTAACTTTTCCTTTTTGTTGGATAAGTTATTAAAAAAGTGTTTTAGCTATTATAATTAATATCATTGTGAATACTTTTGTGAATATTGTTATTATCACATTTTTTATATTATTACTTATAGGGTATATTCTCATAAGTGGAATTCCTAAATGTGACCTTTTTTTGGCCTTTTCTAATATACACTAGCAAATAATTTTCTAAAGAGAATATATTAGTTGATATTGCCACTCACAGGGTTTAAAACTATTTGTTCTGTTGTTGCATTCAGATTATGTATTTTACTTTTTAAGTTGACCTATAATTAAGGGACAACATATTTTAATTTCACTTTTTAAAATTACTGTGAAGGGGGCTAGGGTTGTCACTCAGTGGTAGAGCACTTGCCTAGCATGTGTGAGGCACTGGGTTTGATTCTCAGCACCACATGAAAAAATAAATAAATAAAATAAAGGTATTGTGTTCAACTTTAACTAAAAAAAAATTAGTATGAAGGTGCATATTTTTATGTTTGATTTCTAATGTCAGAGTCATTTTAAATATTTTACCTCTGTTCCAATAACTTCTATTTTTTTTCTGTATAGGCATTTTAAACTACCACACTTTAATTTATATATTTCCTGTAATCTTTTAGAGATACAGCATTTTGCCAGTTAAACATATGTATAAGTCAGACCATGGTGGTATATATCCTAGTGACCTGGGAGGCTGAGGCAGGAGGATTGCAAGTTTGAGATCAGCGTCAGCAATATAGCAAGACCCTGTCTCAAAATAAAAAATAAAAACATGTTGGGATGAACCCAAGTACCATGTATAGTCATAAAGCTCTAATTAAAAAAACAATAAAAAATAAATATAAAAATGGCTGGGGATGTGGCTTAGTAGTAGAGTGATACTGGGTTCAGTCTCAAGCATGAGGGGATGACAAAAACATATACATATATATTCTTCTTTTTTTTTAAGTTGTAGATGAACATAATACCTTTATCTATCTATCTATCTATCTATCTATCTATCTATCTATTTATATGTGGTGCTCAGGATCAAACCCAGTGCCTTACACGTGCCAGGCAAGTGCTCTACCACACAGCCCCAGACCCTGTACATATATATTCTTTTTTTTTTTTTTTTTGAGAGAGAGAGAGAAAGAGAGAATTTTTAAATATTTATTTTTTAGTTTTCGGCGGACACACATCTTTGTTTGTACGTGGTGCTGGGGATCGAACCTGGGCCGCATGCATGCCAGGCGAGCGCGCTACCGCTTGAGCCACATCCTCAGCCCCATATATATTCTTGATGATGAATTTCTCTTTTATTCTCACTATGCTCAGTGGTGTCTTCAAATTAGTTACTCTGTAGAAGGATTAATTCCATTTATGTTATCTAAGTATGTTGTGGAAGCATATTATAGGAGCAATCTTTTTTTTTTTTTTATCAGTTCAGAAGTTTAGGAGCAATCTTAATAATTCAAAAAACACAGAAATTGTCTTTGGATTCAGAAATTTCAATGATTGATTATGTCTTAAAGTATAAGTTTCAAATATATTTAAATAATAGTTTGTAAAAGTCTGAAAATTTGTATTTGAATTATGAATCTTTCCCTCTTGTAGGTTGGAAAAGAGACTGTTCAAACTACCGAGGATCAGATATTGAAGAGAGATATGCCACCCGCATTTATTAAGTGAGTAATTAAAATATTTTGTTGCTTGACAGAAAAATCTTGTTAGGAAAAGTAACTGATTCCAGGAATAACTTTTTTTTTAAAATATAAAACTTATGTTTACAATTGAAATGTCAAGTTTTGGTCTTTCAACCCTTCTTTTCCTACTATGTTGATTTTAGTCATTGGTGTCAGGCACTTTAGTCAAGTCCTAAGTAAAAGTGAAGACTGATGAAAGAGACACTTCCCCCATCCCCTAAAAAGAGTAGAACTTCTTGAAGACAAGACTATTAAACAAACTTAATAAAGCAATGCACCCCCCATGATTAGAAAAAACACTTAAAAAGAGAGTAAATTCAAATGGCCCAAAACATAAAAAGGTTATCCATCTAAGTAGCTATTGAGGAAGTGCAAATTATTTAAATCCCTGAGTTAGAAAGTCTGATAACATCAGTTATCAATAAGGTTGTGGAACAGTCAACTGGATCTCTGTTAGTTGGAAATATAAATTGGTATGGAAACTTTGGAAAACAGTTTGGTGTTAGTAAAGTACAAGACAGGCAGCTTGAAAGTGTGTTCTCTGGAGATACTCAGGCATATATGCACAATAGAATTCACATAAAAATATTTATGTCATTTGTCAAGATGACCTCACTGATCTGTCTATAGGAGAATGGATTAAAACAATCATGGTATTATCATAAATTGGAATATTAATTGTATTAACAATAAGGAATGAGAATTTTTTACTTTAAAATATCTGAAGAATTAAAATGTTTTGTTTTTAAACAGCAGTGAATGAATCTTAAAATTTTTTGAAGGACATTCTATTGTCATATATAACTAATTAGAACAAATAAAAAGTTTTAAAAAAATTTTGAAGGAGGTTAGTGATAGACAAATAGTTCATTTATTTAAAGTTCAAAAACATGCAGGAAAAAAAAACTGCGGTTAGGGATGCCTATTTATATGGTCAAAAGACAAAGGTGAGTAAGGAATTAATTGTCAATAAAGTCAGGGTAGTGGTACCTCTGATGGATGAAGAGGTTTATATTTAGGGAGAGGCATACAGAAGCTTCTAAAGTGGTAATAATATTCTATTTCTTGACTTAAGTGATGAGCTTACAATGATAGTTGTTTTATAATTATTTGTCATTATAGTTTTATGTAATTTTCTGTATTTAGGTTATATATCACAATTTTGAATAAAAATGTTTCTATTTTTAATCTTCCTTGTGTTTTATTATTTTCATTGAATAGATGCAAAAGTTTTAGTCATTGATGTCTTATTTCTAACTTGAGTGGGTGTTTCTATGGAACTATATTTCTTCCAATTCATGTGTCAGGGAATAAGGTACTGGCATCATCTATTTTTTTGTAAATTTTATTCTGTGCATCTTTTTCTTCCTTCATTGGACTTGATGATCTCCAGTGTTTCTTCCAGCTATACCCTGTATGAGCCTACTTTGTTTATCTGCCATTCCATCACCATGATAATATTAAGATGAATAGTATGCTGTTAAATATATAATTAAACTTGCATTTGCCTTACATTAAAAATAACTGTAGCTTATACCAAGTTGCTACTAACCCACTGGAAGATAAAGAACGTTGTTGAGAGCCACAGACAAGTCAAGATGGTGCCTGGCACTTTGCCAAGAGGAGTGGTTTGAGAAGTAATGCCTGTGAGCCATTAAGATGATAGAGATTCCTTAATGATTGACTGCTGTGTCTAGATTATGTCAATTAAGTTAAGCTGTGTGTAATCATTAAGATGATGAGGATTCCTTATTGGTTGACTGCTGTATCTAGTTTATGTTAATTAAGAACAAGCTGTGTATTCAGTTATGTATATATACCCCTACTGTCCTACAATAA